TCATTATCCATTATTATCATTACGGACGCCATTATATATTATTATAAATTACTACTACTATATTATCATTATTAGCAACCAGTATTACTGCTTATGTCATCAATTATTCATTATTATCAAATTATAATTATTATTATCCTATTATCATATTATTGAATTCTCCTCATTATTATCCTTATCACACATCAGACCCGGCCAGGACTCCGCCCCCCCCACCGGCGGAGGTCTGCACTTCCGGTCCACCGCCGAAAAGGAGTCCGAAGCCAAGGTCAATATAAGTACTTATAATAGACCTTGTCCGAAACGTCTCTGAACATGAGTGAAGGGGCGAGGTTCCTCTCCTTCCTCTGACATCTCGTTAAGGCCCTCAGAAGGATTTATCTCCTGACATCGGACACCGGCTCCTGTCACGTGATCTTGGACTAGGGGCGCTAGTCCAAGATTACGTGACAAGTCCGATATACGTGTAGTCTAGTAGGGTCTCGGACTACATGTCGGTATAGATAGGAGCTCTCTTGGTTGGATTTCATATTCCCTGGAATTACCTTCCCATGCTGCACAATTGTCATGGCACACGTCTTCATATGCCTCTCTTTTTCATATCCCCTGCTATGCACCTCGATTTTTATGTCATACACTTGGCATACGACTCACTCCTTATGTCACAAACCTTTCATCGACCCTCTCTTTATGCCCTAAAATTAATTATGCACACACGCCTGTCATGTGACACTCCTTATGACACCCAATTCACTTCTTATGCCCCCAGATTAATGACACACAAGCCATACGACTCACTTCTTATGTCATCCATCTGTCAAATCACACTCCTGGCATACTACTCGCGCCCATGCCACCCGCCTGTCACACCCCCTTCCACCCGCCGGTCACAGCACCACTTTTTATGCACCCCGCCTTCACACCCACCACTTTTTTATGCCATCCGCCTGTCACACCACCCACTTTTTATGCCACCCGCCTGTCACACCACCCACTTTTTATGCCACCCGCCTGTCAAATCACACCTGTCACACCACCCACAGTGCGCTTCCCTCCGCGCAGACCCCCCCCCCCCCCCATCTACACTCCATGCCCCTCCATACCCCACCGTGCCCCCTCCCTCCTATACCCCACTGTGACCCCTCCCCCATACCCAACCATGCCCCCTCCCTCCCATACCCAACCATGATCCCTCCCCTCATCATACCCCACCGTGCCCCTCCCCCCCATACCCAACCATGCCCCTCCCACCCTCCACCCGCATGCTCCCTCTCTCCCTCCACCCCCGTGACCTCTCCCCCCTCCACACCCCATGCCCCCCCCCATACCCCACCGTGTCCCCTCCCCTCCACCCCCCTACCCCTCCTCTCTCCACCCCTCATGCCCCCTCCCTCCCCTCCCATCCCCCATCCCCCTCCCCCTCCACCCCCTGCCCCCTCCCCCCTCCATACCCAACCATGCCCCCTTCCCTCCATCTCCCATGCCCCCCTCCACCCCAATACCCAACCATACCCCTCCCCTTCCCTCCACCCCCATACCTCCTCCCCCATACCCCCTCCCCTTCCCCCTGCACCCCCTTGCCCCCTCCATCCCCATGCCCCCCCCCCCCCCAAATGCCCCTTCCGAGCCCCTTTACTGACCTGTCGTACCACTTGGCCTCCCCGGCGGACGTGCACGGCGCCGTAGTACTTGTTCTCGCACTTGTCGCTCACCATGTACGTCCTCCTCCCGGGGGACGACCTCGGCGCTGTTCTCCTCCGTGTTGCCGTGTCGTCCGAGTCCGGGGACGACCTCATCATCACGCGCTTGAATGGGGGAGGAGAGGGAGGAAGGGGGTTAGGAGGGGGAGGGAGAAGAGGGAGAATAGGTGAGGGAATATAGGAGGCCTTAGAGGGAGGACGAGAATAGGGTTGGACGGAAGGAGGGAGGAGGTTGATAGTGGCGGAGGAGGGTTTTTTAAGAGACGGAGCTTCGGAGGAGAGAAGAAAGGGAGAGAGAGAAATAAATTTACCGAGTATATATTAGGTATATAATAATATATTTATATTATATATATATTATATATTATTATATATTATAAAATAAAGAGAATAGATAGAATAGATAGGAGCGAGAGAAAAGAATCAAAAAACAGTCATATTAATATAAGTGACGAGATAGAAGATCGGAGAGAGTGAGAAGATCGAGAGAGAGGAGAGAAAGAGAGAGATGACGAGTAGATAATGATTAAGATGATGGAAACGATCGAGAGAGATGGAAGACGAGAGAGAGGCAAATGAGCATGTAAGTGTAGAGGAGAGAAGAGTTGGAGAAAGAGACGAGAGAGAGGAGAATAATTAATTGTTATAGTGCTCATTTCCAAAAACATTTAACACGAAAAGGAGAAAAGAAAAAAATAGGAGAAAACTCCTAAGAAGTGCTACTGGAATTGTTCTACCTCTTAAAAATGTGATTTCTTGTCGACTTTTTATTACTGTTCTCTTCCACTAGCCTCTCGACAATACACTCATTCAATATTTCACCGCATGACTTATGTAGTATAATATGGAGAATATAAAAAGAAACTCATATATAAATTACATTTAATTATTCTCATCTCCGTTCAGCCTATTATTTCTGTCCTCGTTCTTCCACGGCAGAGCCTACCCTTCACCGTTATTTCTAAACCAGAACAATCTTCACCGTGTCTCTTTACTTCTGGGTTACTCACCCAACTTTGACTACGATCTTTAGTTTTCTACGTCATCTTTAATCCACCCACTCTCACTAAAAACATCATCGTCCTTTTAAGTTTCCACCACGTCGATAGGCCTCTCCGGGACTAAGCTATTCTTTACGCATTTACCTTTCCGAAAGTTACGTTCACCGATCTGTCTCACCCACCGAAAGCTACTTATCGTAATTTGTCTTTCATAAGTAATGTATCCCTTTAGTATACCTTAGATTATCTTTCCCACCTTGTCCCCTCTAGAATTTCCCACCCCAAAAAGCTAACCCTTCACCCAGCGAATAACAACCCATACCTTTATTCGTGCTCTCCCTAATAGTTATATTTACGCGTCTTACCTTTTTGACAAGTTCCTTCACCACCTTTTCCCACCAGTGTATACCCTTTCACCTGTAGTCTCCTGCAAAGTTACCTTCACAGTAGTTTAACACAGTATATCCCCACTCCAGTCTGAAAAAGACGATAGTTCGGTTAACTTCATAACTAAAGCCCCGCACCTTTGCCTTTTATTCATTGCAAATAATTACGTATGGTTTTACTTGTTTTCTTTTTGTTCTGGTTTTCTTTCAAATATTCTATTTCTTATCATTGTTCATTTACTTGAAGGTAAAGAACACTACATTAAAATATCACACAATTGGACTGGGGTGGAGGTCAAGATCACCCACAATCTTGTTAACCCTCCTAATGAAAGTGAGCGTTCATGTTATGAAATGCTAACTAGAAATACACAACATTGCATGCGTATAACTTCCCGAACTACTGTTTTTATAAGTTACAGAAATAGATAAAAACCAAATATCCCGTTTTATTTATCTTTTCATACTAACGAGAATTCACTTCACCACATAAACAAGCCCGAAGAATTAGTCTTGTAGGAAAAAATTCTTTCCAAACGGAAAATGAATGGATAGCTAACCTGGCTACGAATTTACCTGCCTTTTAGCGGTTACCCCTTACCCACTGTCTCCCCTGCCAAAAGTTTTTTAATACCTTCACCGGTAAATCTTCTACATGGGTTCACTACGAAGCATTTAACAAACAATATTGTCGGACGGGCAGCTGAGACGTATGACGGGCGTTGATCCTTGCTCGCAAAACCCCTGTTTCTGCTGCAGCGCTCACGGCGACCGTCCAGTGACTGATAACCATGGAAGACACAACCGCCTGCAAGGTTGCTCTGTCGTCCCCAAAACCGAGGAATCCTAGCGTCCTACCGCGGCGTCATGTCTGCTTGCTGCGCGCTGGGACAAAGAGAGGCGGCAGTCAGCCGGCCCTTCTCTTCAGGCATTTCTGGGGCCAGAGGGCAGGGGCAGGAGGGGGCATGGCGATGGACCTCTATGGCCAGAAGGGGCAGGTGGGGGCTGGCCTCTAATGAGCGGGGGGGCTGGCCTCTATGGGCCAGAAGACGCCGGCAGGGGTGTGGGCTGCCTCTGATTAGTGGCAGAAGGGCTCCCAGGACAGAGGGCGGGGCCTGAGCCACTTTGGCTTTGAAGCGGAGATGTACTAGCCTCTGCAGGCTTTGGGGCAGCGGGTTGGGTTAACTGCCTCTTTGGCTTTGGAGCGTAGGGGCCGTAACTTACCATCAATACTAACGATATAACGAACTATAAGGGCGGGTGGGTGGCGAGAATAGTTACATTATATCTGCATACTCAAAACACCAGGAGGAAGGTTCTCTGGGGAATGATAGTTAGCTACTGGACTTTTAAGACCTAGGGATTGCCAGCGGACAGAGGGTGGAGAGGGAAGGCGGTGGGTTCAGTGAAGCGATAGTCGCCACTATAATATTGAAGCCATTTTGTTCGCCACGAGGTATTCGGAGGACGGATGGAGAAGAGGAGAGACCAGAAGCTTGCAGACGAAGAAAGAAAAACGGGGGGAGGGATAAGCTAAAGAGGGAAGACTTGAGTAGTGGGGACAGGATGCAAAAGAAGGCATTAGGTGGGACAGAAGGCAAAAATAAAAGCGCGGGGACAGACAACAATGTAGATCTACACTAAGCGATCTGAGGTCCACACCCTAGGGCGGGGCGACATCACTTGGGAAATCGGATAATCACTTTGGTATACATAAATAATGATTACCATGCACGGTGAATGAGGGAGGGCGGCAGGGAGGAAGGAGTCATGGCACTTTTCACCAATCTCAGTTCTAGGTATCATAATGGGCAGAGAAGAAGATGAGTACATGTGGCGTATGCAGCTGCATCAGTGGAGCGCCCCTGAGTTCCTCAGTAAGAGGAGATTTTCTCGTCACTCATAAATAGATGTGAGGGAGACAAGCAGAATAGGTAGTGTCTGGATGATCAGACAGCGATTGGTTAGCAATGGAATGCACACACACACCGTCTAGAT